AAGGAAGGAAGGAAGGAAGGAAGGAAGGAAGGAAGGAAGGAAGGAAGGAAGGAAGGAAGGAAGGAAGAGCATTTAAACTCAGAATAATTTGGATATCACTTTCTGAAATAGTCCTTGTTTGATGGCCACAGTTGGGATTCAAATTTTCATTATATAGTCAGTGCAATCATAAGTTGAATCACCATATAACTAGACCAGATTTTATGACCATTTTTACCATGCTGATTAAGTGAATCACATGGTCAGTAAACAAATCCAGCTTTCCAATTGACTCTTTTGTCAGACACTGTTTGGGAAAGTCATAAACTGCAATCACAGGACCACAGAACGTTGCAACCAGTCATAAGGGCAAGCTATTTGGCAAGTGCCCAAATTGCAATCACGTGACTGTGGAAGTGATGCAATGGTTATAAGTGTGAGGATATAAATCACTTTTGCTGAGGTCATTGCAATGTTTTGAACCATTGTTAAATGAATGATTGTAAGTTGAGGACTACTACTTATGATTGTAAGTCGAGGTATAAAAAGGATGGAACCTGATATTTTACACAGACACAAATTTATCATCAAAGGATATGTATTTTACAAATAACAGCATATAATGTTGCGACATTATTCTTTTGGAAATGCTGCTAAATAAAAGAAAGTAGGCATATTAAAATAAAGAGATGCATAAAATCCTTGGAAAGAATCCCAGCTGCCTTGAAATTTGAATTGTGTTATAACTAATTAACTGATGAAGATGTGGGATATAAATGTATATGGTATTTTGAATGTCGTCCCCCCCGCCCAATTATTGCCCTAATTTGCTGTGATGCTGCAACACCTAGCAGCAAAGCATATTCAATAATCTTTCTTGGCAGAAAAAAAAAGCTTTATACATTTGGTGAGTGTAACTTTGTGATGGAATTTTGCACCTTTCCTTACATTAGTTCACAGATACATGTATTTATTGCTCGTACAAAATTATCAATCTCTTAATGTCGTTGGCTCATCGGAACTATAATTAAGTCCTTATTACTACATCCTCAGGGGACATATGAATACAATGGTTTACCTCAGGAATATCAACGGTGATGTTAGTTTGCTTGAACACAGGTTCATTATCGTTTTCATTTTCAATGTGAATGTAAACAGTGACAACTTTTACCTAGGGGCAAATAAAGCAGAAGAAGGTTATCAGTGGATTTCAAGCTCAAAAACACCAAAAATAAAGACTGGTTAGCCTTTCCCCTCCCCACTTTGTTTCTTCAAAAGTTTGCCTCTGCCCCTGCTATGGTCGTGACTGAATCCCTGTTACCAGCACTCCCCTCTTTCACGGTCAGAAGAAACTCTCTCTTGGAGTTATTTAGTGATTATTCCTGCTAAATTGGGTCAAAATTACTTTAGCCAGATGTGCCTCTGAAAAAGGTATTTTGTGACTGAAAAGAGGCACAACCTCTCATTCTAATATACACTTTTCATTCAAAAGCTTGAAGATGGTGATTTAATCATCATACACTCTATTTGCCCCTTTTCTATGCTGCTCTGAATTCTGACTTAACATCTATATTCACATTCTTTTGACAAAGACTCCAGCAGAGAGATGTTAGGGAAAGGAACTCACAAAGGCAAACATCCATTATTTCTCCAAACTATCATTTCTCTACACTTCTTGCATATTCAGTTCCCTCACAATCCATCCCCCCCACCGCCTTTCTAAAAAAAAGGGGGGGGACTAAGAAACGAGCAATTCTATTAAAAAGGATCATGCTTTGGTGGTACAAGAAATGCTTTGTTCCACTGTCCATTTAGGGCTAAAGAAAACCTCTGCTTGAAACTCAGAACACTTGTTACTAGATGGAGTCAGGGCTGATCCGAGTCAAACTCTTAGTCCATCTAGATCAGTTATGGCTCGTGAACAATTTCTAATTCTTCAGAAAACTGGAGAAATCTTTTCTTTGTCGGCAGCATTAATGCTGTAGAAAATTCTACCATCCCAATGCCAATAATATAAAGCATAGATGAACTTCACAGAAAATAAATGTATAATAGACTTCTTGACACAGTAAGATCTGTTTTGCTGTATACATAACTCTTGATACAAAATCTTCTTCAATTTGTCTTTTGTATGTGCTAGACTTCAACTCCCATAATCCTCTCAGCCAATATAGCTGTTGGAAATTGTGGGTCATCTATCCTGGCTCAGGGACTAGAGGAGCTGAAGTCCAGCCTACCAGGAAGAAAAATGAAGAAGGTTGTTCTATAGGACCACTATCAACCTTGCAAAGATGTTTCTTCCAATATATTATACTTTGGCAGGACTAATAATACAAAGGGAAATTTGAAATATTACTCACTTGCAAATCTGCTTCCCAGCATAACAGTTTCACCGAAAGGATCGCTATCTTCTGCATTAAAAATAAATATTTTAATTTAAAGCAATCCTTTGTAGCACACCTATTATTACACATATAATTCCTAGCAAAGGTTGGTTCTCCTGGGCCTTGCGATGGAATCATTATTCTTTATATCTACAAAGCCATTTTACCAGGGCTCAGATTAAATAAAAGCAACATAGTCTGAGTGAGAGAAAATGCTTGCTAATATCCAGTATCCTGGCACTCTAAAGAGTCTCGCATCTGAAATTCCAAAAATCTATTCACCCCTTGAAGTCAAATGGAGGTCTCTGAGAGCCAGTATGACATACATTTTGTTCAGCACTGAATATCTTTCTGTCATCTGACCCCCAAACAGCTTTTAATGGGAAAATGCTGGCCTTGATCTTGGAAAAATATCTCCCACCCTGTTTTGTAAAACATACATAAAATCCAGCCGTTTTAGATCTCTCTCTCTCTCTCTCTCCCCCCTAGTTTTTGTGAAGATAAATATAAAACCTATCTCCTAGGGGAAACTGGCTGCTTTTTCAGTGCAAAAGAAGTGCTGAGGTTGCTTAATAATTTAACATGCATCTGGATATTTCAGAGAGGAGATGATTCATTCACAGGTGATCCTGAGTTGAGCATTTGAGATTAAAGCGATTGGATAAGAAACCCATTTCTACTCTTCCATTCAAACTAGCAGCTTCCAAAGTACTATTTTTACAAGCATTTGTATATGTATTTGTGTCCATTATCTGTCTTACTCCTGGCATGTGTGTGATAGGCAGTAAGGGAAAACAATAATTCTACATTCAAAGATCTGGACATAAGGGAGAAATATACACTACAGAAGCTCCACTGTTAACTTGCTGTACCTTCAGCCATTTTTAAAGAATCAACAAACAACAATCCTTCCATATTTAAAATTAGACCTTTAGCTGGTTAAAATATAATTCATTTCAGTTGGGGCTTTGAAAAATTGTATTTTGTATCAGTTGTTTTAACTGTAGTCTTATTCTATGGAAAACAAGTGGATTTCCAACAGAGGTATGGCAACTTAAACATATCTCTGAGAGAGGAAAGATGATGACTGCAGCAAAAATTGCAGTAAATAGATTAACTCTTCAGAACTTCTCTGGATAAGAAGAGGATGGGATATCACCCACATATGTTCTGGAGAGTGGCTTCTTATGAGGATGCTGACAGAGTTCACCTGTGAGTTTGAGGACCAGGAAATGAAGGGGCTAGTTTTGCTCTCAATTGCAGCAGAATCTTTCAAAGGACATTGAGACCAATAGCCTCACTTTCTAATCAAAAATTGCTTATTCAATACTCTATTATAGATCTTTGGAACAACAATTTTGAAAAGCTATCTGGAGAGCTACTTTCCTTCTTTAATAAAAGAAAAAATAACTATAAGTTTAAGAATTTAAAGAGTTGGAAATAAATGTCAAAAAACTAAATATGTTTTTGATGTAAGGGTTCATACAATTTTGAAATTTTGAGACTTTTACTATAAAATTTTGGAAATAATAAAATGAAATAATCAGTGTTTCATTAGGAACCAGAATAGAATACAGAACCTCTATAATCATATTAAGAGCAATTGCGTTCTCTTCGCTGATGATGTAAAGCTATTCAACACCACAGAAAATATTGCTACCCTTCAAAAATACCTCGATTATGTATCAGAATGGTCAAACAAATGGCAGCTTCAAATCTCAACAAATAAATGCTCTGTCTTACATATTGGCAAAAAAACCACCAGAAAATAAAATACAAGCTGAATAGTCAAGACCTTGTTGATGATCCAAACTCTGTCAAGGACCTTGGAATACTCATCTCTAATGATCTAAGTGCTAGAGCCCACTGTAACTACATAGCCAAAAAGGCATTAAGAGTTGTTAACCTAATCCTACGTAGCTTTTTCTCTGGTAATATCACACTACTAACTAGAGCATACAAAACATTTGCTAGACCAATACTTGAATACAGCTCATCAGTCTGGAACCCGCATTACGTATCTGTTATTAAGACAGTTGAGAAAGTCCAGAAATATTTCACAAGAAGAGTTCTCCACTCCTCTACTCGTTGCAGAATACCTTATGCCACCAGACTTGAAATTCTAGACCTAGAAAATCTAGAACTACGCTGCCTTTGGTGAGATCTAAGTATAGTATATAAAATCATACATTGCAATGCCCTACCTGTCAATGAATACTTCAGCTTCAACCATAACAGTACAAGAGCACACAATAGATACAAACTCAAGGTTAACCGCACCAAACTTATTGCAGGAAATACAACTTCAGCAACAAGAGTGGTCAATGTCTGGAATACTCTACCTGATTCTGTGGTTTCTTCCCCAAACCCCAAAAACTTTAACCTTAGACTGTCTACTATCGACCTCGCCCCTTTCCTAAGAGGTCTGTAGGGGGCGTGCATAAGCACACCAACATGCCTACCGTCCCTGTCCTATTGTTTCTTTTTATTTTTCTTATATGTATCCATTTCATGTATCCATAACTATGTTTATACTTATACCTATTATCTTGTAAGCGATTGACAAATAAAATAAATAAATAAATATTTTGGTTTTTTTTAAACTTAAGATAAAATTTATTTATTATTTATTGAAAAATTATATTTCAGAAATTGGACATTGGTGAGGACTAAAAAGTCTAGGCAGAAAAGGAAAAGGAAAGGTAGAGAAAGAAAATTGTATAAACAGCAATAGTACTTCAACTTATATACTACTCCACAGTGATTTACTGCTTTCTCTGTCAGCGTATTGCCCCCAACAATCTGGATCCTCATTTTACTGACCCTGGGAGGATGGAAGGCCAAGTCAATCTCAAGCCAGTCAGAATCAAACTCCTGGCTGTGGGTAGAGTTAGCCTTCAATACTGCATTCTAATCACTGTGCTACCATGGTTCATGCTCACAAATGCTTTCATTTTTTTTTATTATTGTGGGGATTTACAAAATGACACAAGATTCCATAACATTAGAAACACTTGAAGAGATTTTTGAAGAATGGGGCCAAACATTAGTAGTTATAAAATCAGAATTGTCAGCAATGATGTCTGCTTTTATGGCTATACTATATCCAGGGAGGCCCGTTTTTGGCTGGGAGAGTGCTGCTGGAGGCCAGGGCGGCCAAACACGGGCCATGCAGGGCAGTGATGGGATTCAAATTTTTTACTACCGGTTCTGTGGGAATGGCTTGGTGGGCGTGGCAGGGGAAAGAGACTGTAAAATCTCCAGTCAGAGGTGGGATTTGCCGGTTCACTCAAAATTTCCTCTACTCAAAATTTCCTCTATTGGTTCTCCAGAACTGGCCAGAGCCTGCTGAATACCACCTCTGATGCAGGGGCCTCACAAAGCCGGGGACGCCAAAACAGGCCACACAGGACCTCCCCGTGCCCCGTTTTGGCCAGCAAAGTGCTGCAGGAGGCGTCCATCCTGTCTCTCCCCCTGCTGGCCCACATTGGGGGGGGGGACTACAATGCTAATCTGGCCCTTGAAGAAATCCAGTGGTTTATGGGACATCCCTGGTTTATGGGATGAAGAGTTTATATTGGTTAGCTAAGGGGAGGTGAAGAGAATATAGATTTGTTTATGTAGCCTGCCACAAAGGGAATAGGAAGTCTTTTTCTTGTGGGGAGGAGGGAGGATAGACATTTTCTTTATATATTTCATTTTTTTGTATTTGCTTTTGTTCTCTTTTTTAGTCTATATTATCTTTTATAGCTTTATACAAAATATTTATTAAAATTATTTGGAAAGAAGATAGGGAAGGCAGTTAAAGGGGAATTACAAATAATAAATGAAGAGAATAACTCTGATAAGGACCTTTTACTGGATCCACAAAATAAGTTTGTTAAAGTTTTGAAAATCCAGGGGGAAATACAAAAAAAAAAAAAAAAAGTGAATTACAAGTTAGAGAAGGCAATTAAAGTGGAATTACAAATGGCAAGCCAAGAGAATGACCCTGATAAGGACTTTTTATTGGATATTCAAAAAAAGGCTGGTTAAAGCTTCGAAAATCAACAGGGGAAAACAAATGATAAACCAAGATCTGGATAATTTTTTACAGCATTCACAAAGGAGGTTTGCTAAAACTTTGAAGAAGGCTCTGTGATGGGAAAAAGAAAAATTGAAGAGAGGCCAAATCTTACAGCAACACCTGAATTTATTAAACATCAAGATGGATAGAAGTAAAAGAATATAAAGTTGAATGTTAAAATAAAACATAACCTATAAACCCCTGGTAGTCCTTTATAGACTTTTTGCTGACAGCAGGACTGAAAAGTTTATGATTTATGGTTTTGCATATAGAAGGAATGGGTTATGGGAAGAAGTGATATTTGTTTGCAGTCTTCTGGGGGTGGAGAGTTATCAAATGTGTTTTTACTTGTTATAATGAAGATTGGAAGAATTTTTACATGTTTCTTTTCTTTCCCTTTTCCTTACTTTTTTCTTTTTTCTTTGTACTTTTTATTCTTTCTCCCTATTTCTTTTTCTAAGTTTAATTTGAATTCCCCTTTTAACAGTAAATGAAACAAAAAAATGTACTCTCATGGTATTGCACAGAGGAAAATATCTTCGGTTTCTCTATTACTGTTCTTTAAAGAATTATACTCTTTAACAGAAGAGTACAATCCACCTAGCAATTACTCTAGGTTTCCGGGTCTCTGAATCTCTGTTCTTATTCTGTCCCACTGTTTGAAACCTTCAAGAGTGGAAAGTAGGGCCTCTTGACAAAAGGGAAAAAGATTTCCACTGGGCCCGCCTAGCACATTGGAGCACTGAAAACGGCTGCTCAGAGGTTGAACTAGTACAAAAATAAGCAGCCTTGTGACTTACAATATCGAGGGTGGATAATGTTTAACTCCGAGGGAGGATGAAGAGCTTTCATGCTGCTTAGTTTCAAATTTTCATACAGGATGCTTCTAGGGAAATTCAGTGGACTTACATACCCCTAACAAGCACATGGGATACTTTTGGTATGCAAAGTGATTTTCACTGGACTCAGACAGCAAGGAGAACCAGAGCACCTTTGAGATCTTCCACTTGAAGAACAGGCAGTCCTCGACTTACAACCACAGCTGAGCCCAACATTTCTGTTAGTAAGTGGGACAGTTGTTAAGTGAATTTGCCCATTTTGCAACCTTTCTTGCTACAGCTGTTAAGTGAATCACTGTGGTTGTTAAATTAGTAATGTGGTTGTTAAGTGAATCTAGCATTGACTTTGCTCGTCAGAAGGTTGCAGAAGGGTGTTGTGGTTCGCCGGCAGCAGATGGAGACGGCTGAAGCTCGGAGAGCGAGGACTCAGATGAGGGGCCTGCGTGTGATACAGGGATGGGGCCAGGACCATCAGGGAGTGGAATGCTACCTTCAGAGATTGTGGAGGCTAGCAGCAGTGATGAAGAGATCCCCGAGGAGCCTGTGCCAAGTGTGCATGCGTGCAGGGCTGCTCGAAGGAAAGAGCAGCTGCAGAAGCACGGATGACTCGGGAGTAAGGCTGCAAGGTAATTTTATCTCCCTTAAAAGATAAAAGCCAGCTGAGAAACTGGAGTTCTTTGCAGGAAGCAAAGAAGTTTTTGCACTCAAGCCTTGTGGACGTTTGAAATATCTTGGTTGGTGTTTGGAGACTCTTTGTGTTTGAAATATTGCTTGGTAACTTTATTTAGTGTTCTTGGCAGCCTTGCACAACCTTGGCAAGGCTCGTTCTTATCAGAGACAATTAGTTTGAAACAGCCTTTTAACCGTGAAGGAACGGAATTCATAAAGAATCATTAAAAGGTTTTGCTGTTACCTCCATTTCGTGTTTGTTTCCTTGGAACAAGGTTTGGGTCAGAACAAAGGGTATCACATGAACCTGGGACATTGCAACCATCCTAAGTATGAACCAGTTGCCAAGCATCTGGATTTTGATCATGTGACAATGGGGATGCTGCAATGGTTGTAAGGGTAAAAAATGGTCATAACAAGTCACTTTTTTTTACTGCCATTGAAACTTTAAACTGTCACTAAATGAACTGTTGTAAGTTGAGGACTACCCGTATTGGCTCCTTTCCCGTGATAGGTTGTGTTCACAGAGCACACTAAAACCATTTACTGAATTAATTCATCTTCTGAGCTCACAAAAAGTGATAGATGGGTTGGAGCCACAAAAGCTCAACCAAAATTAACCTTAACCAAATTTGGCATGCTGTGAAAATGGAGCTTCTCTAGATTTTTAATCATCCTGGTATTAGATTATCCCACATTGCCCCTGCTTTGCAATATGGGGATCACCTCAATTGGGGAGGATTGCCTTACATATGAGTCACATATGAGAATTCTTATAGAGGGAACACTGGGAGTTTTCCATTAACTTTATCAGGATACATTGACACTTGTCTACAATCTTTGGCTAGGAAGAAATAACTTTGGGACAACCGATAAGCACAAAGCATGTGCTATATTGTACTTACTAATACCTATATATTAATTACATCTTACTATTGAACAGTTTTATTGTATGTCCCTTGTGTCAATTCACTTGCATTTTATACAGTCTTTATACACATACACCCCAATACCATCATCGGATTAGCTGACCAGCGAATCCTAAGCCAGCCTCCCCCAAGCTTGCATCCCTTATAAAAATTGGACTACAGTTCCCACCAGGGGATTAAAGATCCAGTGGATCTGGAGAAGGCATGGAGAACATCCATTTCCTGCTGGATTTAAGGCTTTCTCTCCCCCCCCGCCCCCCCCAATTCTATTACCTCATAATCCACAGACTTTTTCAGGATGAGCTGTGAGTCCTTTATTTCAAACCATTCAGAGGGAGAATTTGCATCTGTAGAAGGTTCAATTGTGACTGTGATGCCAGGATTAGCATAAATGTTAGTCACCACCAACCCTGGATCATTATTCTCCATTATGTTCACCGAAGTGTTGCCTACTGAACATTCTGATAAAACAGAAGAAAATAGATTATGTCAGCAGAAGCATTAATTTAATAGAGTCATAAGAATTCACATTGAATATAGCTACTATTTTATTAGGGCGATTAGATAGCAGCAAAAGTAATGTTATATCTAGTGGATTTTAGAGCCTTGCTCTGGAAGCCCTAATTTTGTTCCATTCCAGTATATCATTTGTGATGAGTTTAGGCCAAATCTCACTGCAATGGGAAAGTTGATAAAATAGTTGTCTAATAATCATTTTATCCAGCATGATATCCAAGTACATACATGTCAAAGCCTATGTAGTAACAGAGGACAATTAGCTTGTCAACTTCCTTCTGAAATCATCTACTAGCTTGCAACGTGGATATTCTAAATCTAAGAAAATAGCCAGTGTGGACGTTCTTTCGTCTTTTTCATGTAATTATATTAAATGAATTGTTTTCATAACTCGTTACGTAAACATGAAACATAGTCACCTTTGAAACTGAGGTGTTTTAAAATGTTCGTCTAAACTCTTTAAAACTTTTATTAAAGTTTAAACTATTAACCTAACCAGTTAACATGTCTAGTAAAATATTTACGATATTAGAAACACACACACACGCACACATATATTCTTCCCTTGACCAAGTACTGTCTTTATGCTATCTTTGTGAACATGACTGGCATTTCTTTTAAGTAAGTCCAGATGTGTGCATGTGTGAATATGTTTGTGCTTGTTATATATCACATCCAGATTTGCACATTGTCTCACTTATTTTCTGTGTGTGCTGGAATACCTTAATGTAAGCAATTCCCAGTCACCATATTTAAACATTTGATCCTATAGAGAAAGCTTTTCCATTTCCTTAGCAACTTACCTGGGCTCTGTGTCTCAACCTGTGTTACTGATAGCAAGAAGAAAAGCACACAAAAACAAAACGGCCTGAGAAAAGCCATCAAGCAGACGAGAGACAAATCCAAGAATTACGGGAAAACAGTCCATCCACTTTTCTTCCTGTGTTGTCACAACGCATCTTCCTTTCACTGTTCAAGGAGGAAATAATGTTGCAAATAACTGTGAACTGACACAGTAGTTTAACCTTTGCACCCCAGTTTATTGATTCACTTATTTATGACTTATTTACTGCCATCATTTGCTGAAAGCATTTGTCAGTTTGGCCTGCCTTGCAGGGCAGATTATTGCTGCCATCACTGGCCATCTGCTCAGTAGGCGGTTCTTCCAAGTTCAATGATTACACAATCATAATCAGAATAGAGCTGGAAGGGACCTTGGAGGTCTTCTAGTCTCGCCCCCTGCTCAAGCAGGAAACGCTACACCATTTGAGACAAATGGTTATCCAATCTCTTCTTAAAAACCTTCAGTGATGAAGCACCTACAACTTCTGAAGGCAAGCTGTTGCACTGGTTAATTATCCTTGCTATCAGGAAGTTTCTCCTTAATTCCAGGTTGCTTCTACCCTTGATTAATTTCCATCCATTGTTTCTTGTCTTGCCTTCTGGTGCTTTGGAAAATAAGTTGAACCCCTCTTCTTTGTGGCAGGCCCTCAAATACTGGAACATGGCCATCGTGTCACCCCCCCCTCCTTATTTTCTCTAGACTGGCCATTCCCACAACCATTCTTCGTATGTTTTTGTCTCTGAGTTCTTAATCATGTTAGTTGCTCTTTGCACTTTTTCCAAAGTCTCAACCCTACACTTACAAGTTTAGGGTTTCTGTCTTCAGCCTCTTCTGCATTCTGAGGCTAACAGATCTGGACTGGGACTGGAGCTAACTGTAACTAACAGATTTGGACTGCAAGCATCCTGGCAATGTAAGATGGCAGCCAAAATACAAACATCTTAACTCTTTGCTGGCCTCTTGCAATTGCACAGATGTTTGCAATCATAAGCAAAAAATAAGTAGGAGGGGAAGGTTATACTCAAGGCCAGTTCAGGAACTTATGAAGTAATAGCAAAGGTTGACTTTAGTCTTAGCGTGTGCAGAGTACTTTAGCGTTTAGCCTACAACTACTAGTTCTGAGCTCCACAAATCTATACAACCAGTAGATGGGCAGCAAAGTGATACAATAAACACTCTTTGTTATCATATTATGTAGCTGTCTGGAGTTTTGCTGTCTAGACTTGATAGCTCAATTTAAAAATAAGAAAGCGCAACTATCTCTGGAAGATACGATCTCAAAAAATGCTATTGTTTTTCTGTCTGATCTAACATTGTTGCTATTGAATTAAAAAAAAGGTATATCACTAAGTAATGGCTAGTTGAAGCAATGAGGCTTTTGGGATAGCATGACCATATATCCCTTTGTGGTTTGAGTTACTGCAGATAGAGAAATTAGGGTAATTGTCATACACAGTATATGCACATTTGATTTCAGAAGAGCCAATGGCAAGAAATTTCGAGAAGTACTGCGAGATCTCATGGACCGAAATCCTCAGGTCAAAGAAAGCCAAGAGAATTGAAAACTTCTCAGAAATAAGATACTGGCAATACTACATCCCCAATACTATCATACACCATTTGAGTGAGAGAGAAAAAAATGGAGACTACTATGGGTTCATAGGGAGTACTTGACCAACTTAAGAGTTAAAGGGAACATATTGTTTATAGAACATATAGAGTGTAAAAAAAGTCTTAAGTGCATAAGAGTTTTAAAGCATGGAACTAATCATTGCATCCTGCTTAGTCCAACATGATAAGGGAGATATCTTTTGCTTCTTGCTTCCTTCTTTGTGTCAGCCTGCTGCAGAAGCAGCCTGATGTCTTTAGTCCAAGGGTCAGTAACCCGCGGCTCTGGAGCCGCATGTGGCTCTTTCATCCCTCTGTTGCGGCTCCCTGTCACTCAAAATATGTGTCACACCCGCTGGCACGCGATTTATTGAGCTTTTCAACTCCCAGTAGGCCAACCATGAGTATATCCAAGAAAAGAAAAGTTTCAGAAGAAAACAGAATGTTTAATTCAACTATATAGTCTAGTTTTGTGGCTGCTCAGGACATAGTCAGGCACGGGAAGGGTTTTGTGGCTTCCGGTGTTATCTTTTCTATGGGAAAAAGGGTTTGAGTGTTTAAGGTTGCCAATCCAAGCTTTAGTCCTACCAGTGTTAAAATGTTTCCTTCTTCTTCTGATATACTGTAAATATAGAACAGGTCTGCTCATTTCAACTAAGAAACCAGATATCTTGTTTATGCAGCTTGTTTTTCTTTTCTTTTGCCATGGTAATATTGCTCTCCTGGAAGAGCAGAGTTTCCTGAAGGAATGCTGGCCTTCTAATATACCTATTAGAACTTCCACCTTCTACAAAAAAAATCATTCACAAAATCTTCAGAATTAGAGGTCAGATAAAAAGGAATGTGCATAATGGACAACAAGCAAGTTTGCTTCCACAATCATTTCCACGCATATCTAATATATCAGCAGTCAGTTGGAAAGACTTGTTTTTTCTTTGACACGGGTATAGAATCCTCCTGTTTCTTTGGATACAGATTTATCAACCACTTTTTCTTTGATCATTACTAGCCCTATGAAAAAAAATAAAAATAAAGGCCATAGAAATAAAATAAAAGCCTTATAGAAATCATTTAGATTCATGCTACCTAGTTCATACATGTGAAGGATATTATGGGGAAGTAAAGTACAGAATTGCAGCCTAAAACGGAGAGGAAGGAATAAGAGATTTAATTCCAGACCACAGAAAACAGTTCAGTACAGCCTTTTCTTCTGAAATGTTAATGTTCAGTAAATGGAGAGGAAAAGATCACTCTTTTTAGAAGGAAGACAGGGAAGAGATTGGGGGCATCACAAGCAAAAGAAGCTGGACCACAGCTGCATCTTCCACAGTGATGCCTGTCCCACAGGGTGGGATCAAAGAAAGAAGAATCACACAGACTTCAATAAGGAGGCTTAATGCAAGAATTAGGAGCGAGGGACAGAATTGCAGAAGCACTTTTATTGGTGAATTCATTTAGGCAAAAACTCTTTGAATGTTTTGACGTGCTTCCTGGATTTTTTTCCATTCCAGGCTGAGCTGCTATTTATGAGATAAGCGACTAAAGGCCTCTTCTCCCAGCTGTTGGTTGTTGACATCCAATTCCTTTCTTAGGCTCTCCACCATCTCTCACACCTACCTGGTGAAGACAAAGTTCTGCAACTCCCCCCCTCCTCCCATTTTTCTTATACTGACGAGCATATGTGCCCAAGCCTATGCTTTCTTCTTCCTTTTCACCCCATTGAACTGCAACTCAGGAACCTCAAACAGGCCGGGGGGGGGGGGGGGGGGGGATCACAGAAACCTTCTTGCTCATTTCCTAGCACGAAGCAAACTTCCTAGACCCGTGATGGCAAATCTATGGCACGCGTGCCACAAGTGGCACGCAGAGCCATTTGTGCCGGCAGGTGATTTGCAGGCAAACTTACCTCACTGTGCATCTGCGTGCCTCACAGCTGATTTTTGGCCTGTTTAGGCCTTTTTTGGCCGCCCAGAAGCTTGAGGAAAGCCTATGCAGGCCGAAAAATAGGCCCATTTCGTCACTTCCTGTATTTCTGGAAATACCGGAAGTGACAAAATGGGCCCATTTTTCATCCTGCAAAGCCTGCAGAAGTTTTCCTCAAGCCTCTGGGAGGCTGGAAAAGGCCTCAAATGGGCCAAAAATCAGCTGGGAGGTGCAGTGCAGGTAAGGGGGGGCAGCGGCAGGGATTGCACATGCATGAGCAGGGAGTGTGGGGGTGCACATTGCCTTCTGGGTCCTGGCACACAAGCGCGCATGCACAAGCGCACACACAATTTTTGACACAGGAGCCCAAAAAGGTTAGCCACCACTGTCTGAGACACAAAGCCTTTTGAACAGTGGAGATTTCTTTAAGATTTATAGTCTATTGAAAACTTCCTCCCCCCAACTGATCTATTAGCAGGATTCTTGAGGGGTGTGGAAGCGAGTATCACAATAAAACTTTTTCATTGAGAGATCATTTTGGAGTGAGGGAGAGAGAGGTGTAGTTATATTTTCTTTTCCTATTGAACTCTCAGTCTCCTAGGAACTGATATCCTCATAACAGGCACCTAGAGCAGTGCTGTCAAACTCCCAGTCTGTGGGCCGGATGTGTCACGCGCTGGCCATGCCCATGCCTGGTTTAGCGAAGGGGGGGGGAACGTCCCAATACGTCACATGATACCTCCGTGATGATATGAGTTTCACACCCCTGATCTTGAGATTCCCAATCCGACTCCATCACATATTCTGAATGAAATGATTCAGGCTTTGTGCAAAGATAGAGCCTTCCTCCTTTCATAAAAGCAGTCAATTCCCCCCTCCCCCCGGAGCTCCGCACAAGCATGGAAAGGTTATTTATTTTATTATTTAATTATTTAATTATTTGTCAAGCAATTATAAGATAACAGGTATAAGTACAGACATAGTTATGGATACATGAAATGGATGCATATAAGAAAAATAAATAAAAGAAACAATATTACAGGGACGGTAGGCACGTTGGTGCGCTTATGCACGCCCCCTACAGACCTCTTAGGAAAGGGGTGAGGTCAATAGTAGACAGTCTAAGGTTAAAGTTTTTGGGGTTTGGGGAAGAAACCACAGAGTCAGGTAGAGTATTCCAGACATTGACCACTGTTGCTGAAGTCGTATTTCTTGCAATCAAGGTTGGTGCGGTTAACCTTGAGTTTGTACCTATTGTTTGCTCTTGTGTTGTTATGGTTGAAGCTGAAGTATTCATTGACAGGTAGGGCATTGCAATGTATGATTTTATATACTATACTTAGATCTCACCAAAGGCAGCGTAGTTCTAGATTTTCTAGGTCTAGAATTTCAAGACTGGTGACATAAGGTATTCTTCAACGAGTCGAGGAGTGGAGAACTCTTCTTGTGAAATATTTCTGGACTTTCTCAACTGTGTTAATATCAGATACGTAATGCAGGTTCCAGATTGATGAGCTGTATTCAAGTATTGGTCTAGCAAATGTTTTGTATGCTCTAGTTAGTAGTGTGATATTACCAGAGAAAAAGCTAC